TTAGGAAATTTTTTTTTTTTTTTTTTTTTTTTTTTTTTTTTGTAGACAAATATTCCGCTAGGAACTCAGAATGCAAGCATAAAGTAGAAGAGGAAGGTTTTCTCGTAACAATGCCAAGGAAGAGAAAAGCAACAATTCTGTGAACACTGGTTATCTGTGGTCACACAAGTGCTGCCCATTCTTATCCACTTGGTACATTGGCTCCGACTCCCTTAAACAACCACCAAACCTCAGATGCTGAACTTTATTACTAAAATTTGCCCTCTGCTAAAAAGATAGACAAAAATTATAAACGTGTAAATACCTAAAAGTCTACTTCTTGGGGCAGATGTTCACAACAATAGGAGATTTTTTCTTTATTACATAGAACTCCAATTTTACAGTTTTACCTATTTGTAAAACAATCTTCCAAAGTCAGCAAATTTCCCATAGGTTGCTTCATTATTTTTTAACTTTGGGTGGGAAAATGAACACAATTTGAATATTGGTATCGCTTGTTTTCAAACTTTGGCAAGATGTTTTTAAATAAGTCCTCAATTATATTCATGTGAAATCACTATTGCAAATATAAAATAAAAATTAATGCCAATGAATAATTAGCATCAATTAATAATTAATATCAGTTAATATAAATTAACATTAATTTCCACAATAACTTTCTAGAAGACTCATTTAGGATTTACATGGTGGCACTAAAATCTACTTTAGAAATGAGCAAATCACCCCATTTTCATACTGGGGTGACTTCAGCCTCCGAACACCCAAAGTTGCCTTCGCCCTTTGTCTCTAGATCCCATTGAAGTGTAAGATGGGACACATTCACACATGCCGTAAAAGCCTAGGAGATAGGACACAATTAGAACTGAGACTTTAAAAATGTGCTGTTTGGAGTGGGAAGGGGATGAAGAGTTGGAGGGCACAGGGAAGAGAAGGAGACAAGAAAGAATGAAGATGCAGGGTGTATGTGTACAAACCCCACAATAAGCGTAATCATCGTGTACTGCAAACACAGGCTAACGAACATGCAAGATCGGTTAACAATGAAACACACTCAAAGCCACTGTGTGATGTCCAGCTCTGTCTGGTTGGATGGCTACTGTCGTGAAGACACCAGTGTGTGCAACAACAAGCAGAGCAGCTACCTCTGTACCTTTGTACCCTGTTGGAGGAATATAGATTAGCACATCATGAAGAAACAATCAAAAGCAGAAATATCATATGACCCAGGAGTTCCACTCCTGGAGGTGTGTGGAATAGGTAGTCGAACTCCTGTGGTCCTTGTGGAACCATTCACAGCAGCTGGGAAATGGAACCAACCTGCGTGCACTAAAGGAGGGATAAAGAAAACACAGTTCATAGAATGGTGGAATATTACTCAGCCCCAAAGAGAGGAATGAAAAATGATATGGATGAAAGTGGAGGTGATTACGTTTAGTGAAATAAGCCAAGTACAGAAGGACAATTACCACACAATCACACTCATAAATGGAATCTGAAAATACCAACAACGCACTGGACATTCAAAGATTCTGAATGGTTTTGCCACAGCGAAATGATAAATGTTTGCAGTCAGAGATAGTTAAGCAGGTTTTAATATGATACTGTGTGTACATGCATTGAAATCTCACTTGGAATCCCAAATGCATGCATTTTTTTAAATTTTACGTTTGCTTTAAAAATAAATTTAATTTTAAAATTAAAAGCCCCCTGAGGAAGATGCTGAATGGTTCCCCAGGGACACCCATGCTGCACACACAAAGCAGCCCTGGGGATGGGCAGGCCAGGGTCCCACAGGCACTGACTGCCCTGGCAGGGTGAACAGGTAGTGCACTTTGGAGCCCACAGCGGCCTGCACACTTGGGTATAACTCGTAAGTACACAGATAGGAGTGGAAACCTGGGGACTAAGAGCCTCGTGTCTGCCCTCCTGATGCGGGGAGCCCAGAACCCTGAGCTTCCTCTTCCGGAGGGCGTGGGACAGAAGAATATTGGCTAGAGGAGGGAGAATAGTGCTTTCTCTCCACCTTGCCTAGTGGGAGGTCTACAGATGATGCTTAGAGCAAAAGAATGTAGGCAAACATATAAAACTCGCTGCTTTCAGAATTGGGGGTGAAAGGGAATAAACAATAGTCTTCCCAAAGAAAGCACTTGAAATGGGGGAGGTAAAGAAACTTTTATTCTTTATCTTTCTATTCTTTATTATTTTTTTCTTTTATTCTTTATGGTTTTAGTATAATATATTTAGTATATGTGCATGTAAAATGCTGAATAAAAAAATGTTAAAAGAACAGAGAAGGAAAAATGAAAAACAGAATATCAACTGCGCCAATCTAAAAAAAGTTTCATTTGTTGGGTGGCATTAACCCCCTTCTTCTTTCTGAAGTGCCTGCAAACTAGCTAGCTGTCTTCAGAACAACTCCGGAAGAGCGGTTCACTCCGCCGTTGTCTGAGGTATCCTGTCGGTCAGCAATGTGAAACGGTGATCTAAAGTGACCTCCAGATTCCTGTTTTTATAATCTCAGTGTAAATGCGTTGCACGGTCAAATATAGCATTGGGAAACATAAATTTCAGTAAATGGTTAGCCTGCTAGGAAGGTATCTTAAAGACAAAAAGAAAATATCATGCGATAGAAATGTTGGTGCTGCAGGACTCATTAATCCAGTTTTTTTTTTCCATATTCTTCCTAGGCGAAGGTGAAGTTTACCTTTGAATGCCTAAGAAGAAATGAATATTGTAAGCATCATTATAAGGATATCTTGGTCATTTCTTTAAAAGTAACAGAAGACTGAAGAGTGTATCACTGAAAAGTTTCTTTTGTATTAAATAAGTAGATGGCCTAGTTAACTCCTGGAGTCAGTGCTTGTTACATTTGTCCAGGCATCTTGCCACACACTGGAAAGGAAATCTGAAAATGCATAGCTCATGTTTTTACTGTGAAGGACAAGTAAGGAAATTGACATGAAATTTGTGTTTAAAAGAAAGCAGCACTTGTTGTATTGAATAGTCAGGCAAATCGTGCTCGCAGCCTGGAGAGTAGGCTTTGCCTGGGAAGGCTCATCTGAGATGCAGTGGAGGAGAAACCAGCTGTAGGCAGGTGCTGAGGATGGAGATGGGAGGTCATAGAAGCATCCTGGACTGCGAGATGCACTTGGGCACTCTGGGAAGAGCTGGGCTATTGAGCAGAGTCTATGGAGAGCAGAGGTCTTTATCTTTTAAGACATGAGTGGAGGCAATGAAATGCCATTGATAACTATTATTAGCAGTAGCTTGGGCCAGCGATTTAGCTCAGTAGTTCTTTGGCACCTGCCTCGCAAGTGCAAGGACCTGAGTTCGTCCCCCAGTTCCGGGTGCAGGGGGAAATTAGCAGAAGCCTTATATTTCAGGTTGTTTCTGTCTGCTAGAAAAATCTCACTGTTTACACCCATCGTAATTTTTGTTTCTCAAGCCTGAGACTAAAATGATGGAATTTGTGGAGAAAGTTCATTTTAGCACTCGTGACAAAATATTTCAACAAAAGGAGAAAAATAAGACACAAATGGCTCACACAGTTATGTCAAAGTGTGATAAGCAATACAGCAAGGCCCAAGACTGGGAAGAGTAGAGATAAGAAACTGTTTTATGCTTTTTGCCACTTTGCAAAATACGCACTCATCAATTTTAAAATGGGGCAGTGTGCATTGTCAAAGAAAGAAGGAGAAAAGGAGGGAGGAAAGAGATGTAGTTAGGAGGAAAAGAGCACAAGAACAAGAGACTAAATGAGAGAAAGATGACTTCCAAAAAGCAGATTTGAGGGCAAGATGGACAGAGAAACCATGAGCAGAAAGATCCCTCCTGCAACATTCTAGACAGAAGTTAATAAAGATTCCAGATCGGTCATTTGTAGCACCACAAATGGAAGAACAGGACAAATCCTTACAAAATAAAAAGAAAGGTCCTCTATCCAAGACCGGGTTCCAGAAAAGATGAAGTGGTTAGGCCACCTGGACCCTCTAGTTATGGCATGGTGATTGCTTGGTTGTTTCACTTAGAATTGCTAGTTAGTATCCATTTATGCATTGCATTAATCCATCACACTCTTGTTAAAGAAAAAGGAGGGTGAATATTTTTGATCTCCACCTTGGCTCAGAACCACGAGCTCTGCTTTTGACCCAATGAAACCTTTCACTCTGTGTACACAGCCACTCAGACCATTTATGGTGCAGCTGGCAGGAAGCTACAGGAACACATCCAAGGACACAGCCCTGCTGGCTTGAGACCATGGTCGACCATTTGTCCAGAATGTATTGCCTTGCTTGTCCCTGCCATCCGATTTAATTGTTATGACTTAGGGGGTAAGGATGTTGATTTAAAGCTTGGCTCTCCTGTGCTCCCCTGCCCTGCCTTGCTCCTCTGAGCCCTCTGTTCCTCCTCTGCAGGTCTCTATGAAACCTTCCTAACCAATGACGAACCAGAATGCTGTGATGTCAGGAGAGAGGGGCAGTCCGCCCACCCGCCGGGAGGGACAGTAGAGAGAAGGGACAGCTGCCACAGGACGTCGCTCACAGTGTCCTCCGCCACGAGACTGTGCGGCGGGAGGCTCAAGCTGTGTGTCCTTGTACTGATTCTGCTGCACACAGTGCTCACGGCCTCGGCTACGCAGAGCACTGACTGCCTGGGCCTGGGTGGCATCGCCACGCTGGAGGACAAAGCCGCCAACGAAGAGTGAGCCGAGCAGCAGCCAGCCCTGGCCCACCCGAGAGAAGCAGCCACTGTCCCCAGGAGCAGAAACTGGGTGCTTTTACCCTCCAGTTACTTCTCGCAAGGTCTTTAGGGTAAAACTTCAAGAAGATGGGCCTGATTCCAAACAAGGACACACACCCCACAGCTTTCTGTTGACTGAAAAGCTGCCAAGGGACTTTCGATTTCTCACACCATTTTATACACTGTGTTTTAATGTTTGGAAGTTTTCTTTGCTTTCGTTCCAGTCTGAGTTTCTTCGTTTGTTTCCTTTTATTTTTCTGCACCTGTTAATTAACACAGGATTTATTTGGGGGATGGTTTCTCAGAGCTAGTCCAAGTCTTCGCAGTGTCTGTTTCGCTCTCTCTAGTCATCGTGTGTTCATCAGATAGTTCTGTCTTTACGTCCTGTCAGTTTCCATTAGAGGAATGACTGCTATGACCTCGTGGTATAGCAAAAAACAACAACAAAAAAAGAATAAAAAAGAAAAAAAGAAAAAAAAAGAAAACAGCAAAAAATACAAATAAAAACTTCCCTCAGTCTCTCCCTAGACCCCACACCCTCCCTGGCCATCCTTTGGGCCCCCTCTCGCCCCGACACACACACCCGCTTGCTTGTGTCTGTGTAGCCACGGTGGCGGGTGTGCACGAGACCCGCACAGAGCACAGCAGGGCTGGCGGGCGCCTTGCAGCTGAGCAGGCAGGACGCCCCACGACCTTGGAACCAGGCCACTTGTGCGTTTTTGTTGAAAACAGGGGAAGAAGGGACATTTTTTCAAAAGCTGTCTCACACTGAGTTGCTCTGGTCTCATTCGCACGTGGCCCCATCCTTTCCTGCTGGCCGGGTAGACAGGAGCAGCTCCAGCCTGCAAGGGGGACAGGCAAGTGGCCCCCAAAATGTAGGGGAGGCTCTGCCCACTGTGAGCTCAGCTCTGGTCACCTACGAGCACATTGTGGCCATTGCCATGGGAACACAGACTGGGGCCACAAATACAGACTTCTGTGGCTCCTGTGTCGCAGTGGAAGATTCTAGAACTGCTCAAACATCTGCAGTATGAAGGATAGATACAGTTTTATCCCAGTATTTCCCCAACACAGGGTTTTAAATTATGCCAGGTCTAAACTGTATGCAATTCTGCATCATCACAGAGGAAAAACTTCTTTTTGTAAACAACAACAACAAAAAATAGAGCAGCCATTTTTATCCCCGTGCGAAAAACTTTAATGCTTTAGGGAGTGGAAGAAAGGAGAAGTCTGATCGCTCTGTTTGTATTTTTTTCTTTGTGGGAACATTTCACCTGCTGAGTGTATATGGATTTGCTTTCTGCAAAAAGGCTTTTATGAGTTTACAGTAGAATCAGTGGAAGGAAGAGTTAACAAGGGCTGTTTTTAAAAAACAAACAAACAAAACAAATAATTAAAAAAAAAAAAAACATTTTCCATTCCTTCCTGTTCTCTATCTACCCTGGGAAGTGCACTTCAGAGAAGTCAGCTGTGTGGCTGGGAGACAGAGGAAATCCATAGAGAAGGTCCTCTTAGTGAACAAAATTTAGTTACTAACTATCGCTATGAGATTCCCCTGGGCATTTGTTTCTCTTCAGACAGACCTTTATCCTCTGCATCAAGCTTAACCCTGCGACATGCGTACAGTATGCATATTTTGTTTTGAATAAAAAATGTTTTGTTCCAGTCTGTTAAGAATATTCAAAAAAAATAATAAAGGTATTGCTTAATAAAATTGCTAGAATTATTTAGCAGTACATGCACAAATATTTTACTAGATTCTTTGTTTTAATAGTGTTTCGTTGAGACTGAAAATCCTAAAATGGTCTGTGCAAATACAAAAAAAAAAAAAAGAAAAAATCTCCTGTTTTGGTTCCTTTTCTTGAAAACTTCCCCCCCTACAAATACAAATAAAGTCACATGTGTGTGCGTAGACACATAAGTATTGCAATTTAATTCGTGGAAATTTAGAGCTCACTGGGGACAAAAGTACAGAGACGAGCAGCTTCGGGGTCACTGGTTGTGCCCATGTGATGACTGGAAAACACTTGTGGAAATGAGAGTTTCAGCAGCCTGACCAGAAATGGATCAGAGATTTTAGCAGGAGGCAGAAAAGTGGACAGGAAATAGGCTGATGAGGGGTGGCTGGTCGGGCTTTTAGGTGAGTGGCCCGGAACACACTTGTTGGAACCTTCACCTGCTCCTGCTGGAAAAAGCCCAGGCCGCACTGCACACCTGTAACCCTCCTGCACCCTCTGGCTGGGCCCTAGACATTGTTGTTCTCAAAGAAAATGGCATGAGGGCCATAATACAAATACCTCTTCATGCCATGACAAGCAGCTACTCTAAGCACTGGGCAGAATGTTGAAAAATAGCATGTTTCAAAAAAAAAAAAAAAACCCACAGCATTTTGCTTTCTTTGCATATCTTTTGCAACTGATTAAAGTTATTTTCCTATACAAGGGGACTGGTAGTTTCCACTTCCTCATGATTTAGCCTTTGTTTAGAGAAAATGTCAATTATAGATGGAAAGCAAACAAACAAAAAAGCACTGGGTTACAGGAGAGGTAAGTCCCCAAAAGATAATTTTCAAAATTGGGAGAAACTGTAAATATAAAACTGTGAGGCCGGTGAGAAGAGCGTTGTCACCGTAGACAGGGAAGGGCTGTCTTCTTCCAGCAGCTCAGCACCCGCTACAGCCATCACAAGCTCCCATGGGATGTCTTCCCTACCCTGCTGTTTCTTCTCATTTGGAGAAAGGGGCCTCTGCGCCGGGCCCGCGTTATTGCTAGTGTGCAAACCCTCCCCGAGAAGGTTCCCTGGAACTCAGCGAAGAAAGGCAGTTACCTGCAGTCCGCAGGGTCTGAACAGGTAACAGCCCCTTCGCAAGGCGAAGAAACCGTCCCTGCCAGAGATGCGACTCTCATCCACACACCCAGCACAGGCGTGAGCATGCTGAACGGTGTGCACACCTCAATTTGGACAGAGTGAAGTCAGAGCTGGCTGCTTTGTTTCCATTGTCTTGCCCGTTTCCGTGTAGCAGGGTTCCGCTACCTATTGGACGATGAACTACATAAGAGAACAATTACTTTCAAGTAATTGAAAACCAAGTTGAAAACCAAGAGAACAATATTTATTTCATAAATATATGGGACAGATTTTCCTGTGTTTACTACTGCCTTTTTTTTTGACACATGGAAAATTCCATTTGTGGAATATATTGGTACTGCTAAGCTAAATGTCAAGTAATGTAGTGCAGTGACAGGTTATTTTTTATTGCGTTACATTTTGGTGACTCATTCTACTGACTTCTGTGTCATCGGATGGGTAGTATTTCCTCCTAAGTATCTGCTAAGTGACATTGTCCTATTACGCGACATCATTGCAGATGACAGTTTGGTTTCTTACCACTGAATCTATAGTTTGAAGTGCTAGAAACTGTAGTCATGGAAATAAAAGCAGCAAGGGAAGAGGTAACAAGGGAAGGAATAAGGGAGGGTGGGAGAAACAGCACAGAAATGAAACACGTATCTTGTCTTTAGTCCCACGGAGCTAAATATTTGATTCCCCCGGCACACATGTGCATGTATAAAGGAGGGAGTCCATGGCAGGTTTTACAGAGATGTGAAGCCAAAGAGCATTTGTGTACGCAAGTGGCCTAACGTGGAACTGGAGCCACACAAGCCTTCTCCGGCCCATCCGTAACAACGAGAGCACAGCACTATGGTGAGTGATTCCTGCCTGTATGGGAGCGGCAGGCTCATTGACGACCCGAACCTACTTTGACATGCAAAACAGACTCGCTTGAGATGTCTCTGTTAGTGATGGAAAAATAATTTTGAAATAGCCGGCACCACTTCCATCTTCCAAGCTTTAATGATGTTTAGAAAAAATGCGAGATGGCCTGTGGGCATCAGGCAATGTTGAATAATGAAACTTTCAGTGCAAGGATGGAAAAATGGAGGGCACTGTAAGGCAATATTTCCAGCATATTTACCAGAAACTAGCAAATGTTTCCACAGTGTTTGAGAAATTCTCCACATGATGATGACATGCAGATACTCCTCTGAGACTTGGCATAAAACTAGCAAGCATCAGAAATGACATATACATTTGTTCCTGACGTTCTTGAGGGCTATGTCTACTTCACACAAGACATTCAGATTAAGACTGGAAGAATAATATTTTGTCTGAGGCCACACAGGTAGATGGAGAAAAGGTAGAAAGCTTAATTTAAGATAGTGAATTCTAGCTGTGGTGGTGCATGCCTGTAATTCCAGCATTCTAGCACTCAGGAGGCTGAGTCAGGAGGATCGCCTCAGGTGCCAACAGTTCAAGGCCAGCCTGGGCTACACAGTGAGTCCAAGGCCAGCCTGCACTACAAAGTGAGACCCTGTCCAAAAAAAAAAAAAAAAAAAAAAAAAAAGCAAAACAAAGATTGCAAATTCTGAGCATCAGGTCTAGATCACCACAGGCTGTCAGCATCCCTCGAAAGTCTTTTATCCAAATGCTGAGGTATTTATTTATTAAGATGATTAAGTTTTTCGTGAAAATTCCAAACTATCAAGAGATATCCAATGTCACTGAGTTCATTTTCCCACATTACACCTGGCTGCAGTGTTTTTTGCTTTTTTATGCCACAACATTTTGGAAATACCGGAAAGGTCTCTGGGAAGATTTCCATCAGACCCATGGCTACAGCGCAGTGGAACTGTGGGTCTGCTCGTGTTTTTCTTTTGCAGTGTAGAGAAGCGGGCAAGAGCAAAGCTTGGGAACCTCTTACCTCTGAACCGCAGAGGCCCGTGCTATGAGGACACCGCGGGGAGAGAGGACCTGAGGAACTGGGAGGAACTCGTGCAGGAACTGAGGCTCAGAAGAGGAAGTGATGCCGAGTTCTACACAGGACGAGCCCCAGCCAGGGACTCTGCTTGCTCCTCTGAGGCGTCTGCCTCGGGGACGGCTCCCAGAGTCCTGCGGGGTCTCTGGCATGCTCTGCTTTAATGTCTTCAATAACCTGCATATTTTAAACAGCAACTCTGATCATTGGTTTAGCAAAATGACCATTTCTGTCTTTTAAAAACCATTTGGAAGATTTTCCGGGTATTGCAGAGTGACCGTGAGTACTGATGACTTTTAAAGTAAATGGCTTTCCCATCCTTTGCAGTCCTCTCCCCAAAACTGCTGACCGTAAGCCAAAGTGAAGGGCAGGCATAGGAGTCAGCCATGGTTTTGTGCGCAGGCGTAAACTGAGCTGGGGTGGCAGTGGACAGTCATACAGCTCCCTGTGGGTCTTGATGTTCTTGCAGACTTTTTTGTGGGGTGGGTACCAGGGATCAAACTCAGGTCCTTACAGTTGTGAAGCAGGCAGCGGAACCACTGAGCTAAATCCCTGGCCCAGACTCTATTTTTAGTATGCACCTTTGGGGGGTTCTCCATATTCCTGAAGTAGCGAGCACTGCACTAGGTTTAAGCCTGTGTGGTGTGGATCTCTCTCTCTCTCTCTCTCT